ATTGGCTGACTTGGTTTCTTGAAGTCCCAGTCTGAATCAGCACAAATGAATGCTCTGTTAAAATACTGGCTTTTATCTATGAACCGTTATTATTATTAATTAAATTCTTCTTATTATCAATACCGCACTCTCCCCTCTTCTTATTATTATTAATTAAAGTCCATACTTTATTCAGATTTCCTAAGTGTTTACCTAATCTAATTTCTCTGTCCCAACATCTCATCCAGGATACCACATTACTTTAGATGTCATGTCTCTTTGGGCTCCTCTTGTGACAGTTTCTCACACTTTCCTTGTTTTTGATGACCTTGACAGTTTTGAGGAAGACTGTTTAGGTATTTTGTAGAATGTTCCTCATTTGGGATTTGTCTGATCTTTTTGTCATCATTAGACTGGGCTATCGGGTTTTGGGGAAAGACCACATAAGCAAAGTGCAGTTCTCATATCAAGGGCACAAACTATCAACATGAATTACCACTGTTGACGTTAAGTCATCACCTGGCTGAGGAAATGTTTATCAGTCTTCTCCACCATAAAGTTATTCTTTTTTTTTTTTTTTTTGTCCTTTTTGAGACCGGCCGCACCGCGCTCAGCCAATGAGCGCACGGGACATCCCTATATAGGATCCGAACCCGCGGCGGGAGCGCTGCTGCACTCCCAGCGCGGCACTCTCCCGAGTGAGCCACGGGCTTGGCCCAAATTATTCTTTTTTTTAACCCCCACTTTTTTTTTTTTTAAGCCTACACTTAAGGAGTGTGGAGTTATGCTCCACCTCCTTGGGAGTGAACTATCTACATAAATAATTTGGAACTATTCTGTGTGGGAGGTTTTTCTATTATCCTTCATATTTATTTATTCACTTATATCAGTATGGACTCATGGATATTTATCTTATACTTTGGGTTATAATTCAATACTACTTTATTGCTCAAATTGTTTCAGCTTTTTTTTTTTTTCTATAAAAGATGACCGGTAAAGGGATCTTCCCCCCCCCGCCCCCCGACCGGTAAGGGGATCACAACCCTCTGCACGGTGTGGTCTGCAACACGCTCAGCCAGTGAGTGCACCAGCCATTCCTATATAGGATCTGAACCCGCGGCCTCAGCGCTCCCTGCGCTGCACTCTCCTGAGTGAGCCACGGGCCAGCTCCGTTCCAGCTTTTAAAATCTTAAATCTTTTTAGGGCCGGCCCGTGGCTCACTCAGGAGAGTGTGGTGCTGATAACACCAAGGCCACGG